CGACCCTGAAACAGAGAAGAGGGGGGGGGGTCACACAGCTGAGCTTCACAAAGACACACAGGTGACATCACATCGAGAGTCACATAAACTCAACTGATGGAAATATGTAGATCTAAGTGAAAGAAAGCAGTTCAAGTATTCCTCTTCTATTCCTTTTTTTAAGTTATTCATCATATTTCTTTGACTTATAGAGGTCATATTCTTTTGCAGTGTTTGTTTTTTTCTGTGTTTCCATTCTTGCCAATATGCTGAGCTTATTCTCCTGAAACAGACAGTGGGGGCAGGATGGTAACACTGCTGTGCTAGTACTGCTCATTAACACCAAGGAACTACTGATGACAAAGAGAACACATTTCAAATACATGTATACAGCTCAATCCATCATTTCCAGACTGAGAACACAGGAGGGTGCGCACCATTTCACCTGCAGGACCTGGACTAAAGGGATCCATTTTTGAAGTACAAATATATGAGAAAAATAAAGAACATTAACTTAACCGTTTAATGTTTATGACACGACTAGTGCATTAAGGGCGTATGCTCTACTGCTGCTGGTTTTAGGCACATCATCTGGGTACAAAGTAAGGCGCAAGAAGCAAAGAGGGTTCTCTTTGTTTTCTTGATGAATGAAAGGTGTGTTCAACCTCATCAGAGCCTCATCGTCTTTGAAAGCCTGGTGCATTGCTAGTTGTATTGCTGATTCAGTGAATAGAAGGAGAGAGCTGTTTGGTGCTGCATTTCTGTCGGCCATCCTACTATGTGAATGGTACACACTTCAGATAGCAGGAATACTGACTTTGACAGGGATGTGTTGGTCACTACAGACAGTCCCAAAGAGTGTAGCTTAAGATGTTACCGTTGGCACTGGCTGCTGGGGGTTCAAGGGGAGACGCTGGCCTGCTGGGGGTCCTGGTCTCTGCAGGGGACACGGGCACTGGGGAGGGCGGCTGAGAAACCCGGGGGGAGGAAGGCTGACCTACTGAGGGTGTGGGCTGCACAGACTCTGCTTGAGGACTGGGTCCTGGATCTGAAAGCATTGAACAGAAACACCAGAGTCAAGCTGCTACCACAACAACTCCCATGTTTGAATACTCCATATATGCGTGTTTCTTTACAGTCTGAAGGGAGTGAAGTGTTGTACCTGCTATGACTGTCTGTTTGAAGAGCTCCTCCCTCAGGAGCGGCAGGAAACAGTCGATGCGCTCCCAGGTGATCTCCCACAGGTCAGAGTATCCGGTCCGGGAGTCAGCGCTGTGGAAGATCCCCGCTGTGTCCATCACCAGCAGCATGTTCTTCAGAGACTCAGGGATGGCCTCCAACTGCACGCACGCACACACACACACACACACACACACACACACACACACACACACACACACACACACACACACACACACACACACACACACACACACACACACACACACACACACACACACACACACACACACACTTTTACTTTCATGTCTTGAGATCATTTTCTAATGTACAGGCCACTGAAAGCAACCACTATTCAGTCTCTGTGTTCATTCACCAATGCTTGTTCAGACATGATACATCATCAGAACACAGCACACAGGAGTAAGAGGAAATTGTGTGACAAACTAGAAGTTATTGTGTAGTCCCATGAACTGCTGCAATATTTACATATACAGAAGACATTTATTAGCAACACATGCTGATAATGCAACCAATATACATTTCATATTTTATTTCTGGTACATGTTCATAGGATCAGCCCTGATTCAGATCCTGCGGAATGCATCCAGGTAGCCTTTAAATAGCATCACGTCAGAGGTGGAGAAGAAAGACCCACTGAGGTGTGAAAAGGCATCAGATCATCTGTTTGATAATCACACTACAACACTGTTAGTATTATACATGTCCTCACTAGTAAGTCACTGGATCCTGCGTGCATGTATTTGTCCATGAAGTCCAGGATGGTGAGCCAGAGGGCGGCAAAGGTGGGCAGAGAGAGCAGAGGAGAGAGGTGCTGCAGGAACACCTGGACAGAGAGGAGCACAGGTGAGCAGCTGCTGCAGTAACCACGGTAACAGGGTTCAGAGGAGACACAGCCCACACCAAAACACAACAGGGAGGTCAAAGTAAATATTTTTGTGTTGGACGATAAAGGTTTTTTTCTTCCTTCAATGGCAGGATTCAAGCTGTGATGGATTTCACTTAAAGAGCAACTTCCAGGTTAAAGACACCTGTGAATAATTTTCAAAAACATATACAGAAATATACACTAGTGACATCTGGCGTCGTTTTTGTAAGAAATGTTCACTTCCGCATAAAAAAGCCTCGGCACGTGACCTCCCGCGTGTGACGTAACATGGGGGAAACAAGGGGGAGAGCGGCCGGTGTAACGTATTAATAAACATGGATCCCAATGCTAGTTTCGGCACAGAAGAAGTTGAACATCAATATTTGAATGCATATGACGGACCACAACCTTATAATTATGAGCCTGCTAGGCGTCCAAGAGACCAGGAGCAGCCAAGGATTAGAAGAAATAACGGCCATCGGAGAGAAATTGAGCTGTGGTGTGAGGAGAACCAGTGGAGAACTGGGCAGCTATCTTGGTGAGTGACCGGCGTTAGCTACAGAATGTTAGCTAACGTCACATCACAACATTGTGAAGTTAGCTATCATATATCAGGCTATAACTGAAGTAGCATTGATAATATAGTAACGTTACTGGCAGGACTGTTGATACTGATCCATAACAGAAACTAATGCGCAAGTATCAGCCGTATCTCGCGTTACCTAATGCAACTCCACACTACGGTGCTGTGTACCGGAGGAGAGACGCGAGATACGGCTGATACTTGACGATCTGGCGGAGAAAGGTTGTGGAGCCTCCGTTGATATGCCGTTGTAAATGGCTTGATGGAAAGCAGGTGTGTAGTCGGGGAGGGTGCACAGCTGATTGCAGCAGGTGAGTGGAGGTTGAGCCGGGAGCCAGGAGTGACAGCCACCACGCACACACAAACAACACAGACAGGGGGA